CGGAATAAATAAACGGTACAGCGAGCGCGACAAAGGGAAGAGACGCGGCGTTTGCGTTTCGCGAATGAGAAGAAGCGTCGGTGACGGCGGCAACAATGGAGGGAATGCCGCCGGACGCCGACAGTGGCGCGTACCCTAACTATCGATCGTCCGCTAAAACTATCGATGTTGAATCCGTCCGCGTCTGCCGGTTGCCATACCCTTTTCGGGCCTTAAAACGCTGCAAACAACTCGAAAACGACGGATGTAGGCTTTTGGCAGATTTTCGTTTTGGAAAATCTCATTTTGGGTGGTTTTTGTGGATCTCAAGTTGCCAAAATCGAATAGCCATCGATCGTTATTCCGTTGGCCTGCTCGGCGTGGGTGAAAACCGTTGAACCGTTAGAGCGCATGCGCAGTGACCTCGATCGGTCGAGCCAATCCGACATGGCGACATCTGGGCGGCGTGACCAACAGCATGGGTGCCCGGTAAACAATTCCGTGGTTGGCAACGCCGGTCGGCTTTTATATTTTCACGACGCTCACGACCCCTCCGACCGTCGTCCACCAAGAGTTCATGTCGTTCACTACCACCCGCCTCCGCTGTAATCCGGCAATTTCGCTCGCTTTTTATACATCTTTTTTCTTTCCAAATTATTTCGTGGACATTTTACCATTATTATTATGACTATACCTACCATTCGTAAATTGGGTTTTTTTTTGGCGGGTTTACGACCGAGATGGCGGGAGTGAAAAATCAACAATATCATAATATTTATTACAGTATATTAGTATATGGTATAAATATATGTATATTTTGGTCGACCGCCGCCGTCGCACCACCCGTTTATAATATCTTTTCGCAATCGTCGTAAAAATATAAAATATAATAAAATAAATACTATGTACGTCTTACGAAACACGAAGGCGGTTTCTAATCTCTTATTTTATCCAAACGATCGGCATCCGATAATTCGTTATTTAATATTACCGTCGGCAGGCCAATCCACATATTAATAGTATTATGGTCATTACTGATTATTACGACGCGACGACTGTTGCCGTATTTTTCACTGTGCGATCGATGATCCGAAATTCTGTGACCGCGTCCTCTGCGGACTCCGCTTTATCTACCGTACTTTCGTATCTGTTAGGCTGTTCAGTGTACTGCAGTATAAGAATTGGGTGCTCAAATTTCCTAAATCAAAACAGGACGAATTTCGACAACCAATATGCATCCATCCAGTGAACACCCCCCTAGTAAATGCATTTTGTATTCAGTTATTAAAATTTTGCTGCAACTTATCACATAGATACAAATGTATAATACTCGTATTATTATAACCGACACCATTCTTCTGCTTTTAAGTATTTTCGTTCGGAAATTCCAAAGTTCAAGCTAATCTGTCGGTCGCCGCCATGGTGATTGCCAATATTGATATACATCACGGCTATAGATACCATCTTTTTAATAATTATTGTGATATACATTAATGCTTATACGGTGTACGGAATACCGAAACGAGCGAGAAAGTAAACACCCCCTCGCCCCCCTCATCGTATAGCCGATTATTTGGCGGCGGTACACGATCGTCGTAACGTCTACAATATTTTTAATAATTTGTTTTTTCGTCTTTCAAGTGTGCGTGACACACACCGATACCGTGTTCTTTGGCAGAGCAGCTGCAGGACGCGTGCCAGATGCCGGCGGTGTAATAATAATATTATAAAAACCACAAAGGAGTAATGAGTATAGGACGGCCACGCGAACGCCGACGATCGATTTATTAAACGGAAATAACTGAACGTTATTTTACTATTATTATTTTAGGTTACTTCGCTCGGCGGCCGTAATGCCGCATCAAACCAATACATCAATAAAAAACCATAAAAAGTTGCGACGATCGCTGTTGCCTCTGGTACCTATGCAGATATAGTTGGGTATATTATTCCTCGAAGGTGAAAATAAAAATTCGCTAAAACCGCAATGTGGACTGTTTTTGTTCGACTGCGTACTAACTTTCCGAGAAATAAAATACGATTTTCCGACCGAAACGCTGATGAACGAAGAATATTACCAAATAATACTGAGAATATTATGCCTGGGCCATTGGCTATACGAGTAAAATACAATTCGAAGCGTATTCGAGGAATGCCGATTAACTGATAGAGGGTGCTCTACTGCTCTGCGCGGGTGGAGGACCCTCCCCGAAATCTGAAACATTGAAACATAATATTATTGTCTCCCGAGTCCTAAGCCCTAACCTACGAGATACATTTTAATATTGTACTACAACTCTAGGCTCTACACTAGTTCCAGTTTCGTATTTATTATAAAGTACACCGGGGTTGGTACTCCGAAGCATATTAATATTTAATTTTTAACGCACGTATGCTGTTTGTATGCGGTCTGACGCGGACAATCGACCGGCAAACGAAACACCGTAAACCCGTACGATAGTAATACGAATAATAATATAATATGCCGGACCGGCCAAACAAAATTAACGAAATGTTCTAACGATTTGGAGAACTGAGTTCACAACGCTGTATTTACTATATTACATAAGTGTATAATATATTATATAGAATAATAGGTATAACAGTACACAATGGCATAGAAATCCATTGAGGAGAACGACGGTCGACGACGGTTAAGCGGCCATTGTGCGTCGGTGGACTATGCAGTACTACAGTTTTATACGTTATTATAATACAAATGCGATGGCGCAAAACATCAAGTCCAGGAGAATTGTATCTACATAGATCCGCGTCATATCATAATTATAAATATATTTTCTACGTAGTTCGACATATTTTCGGAGTGAATCACAAGACCTCAAAAATCGGTCTCCAAACACAATATCACTACGTAAACGCTATTCTTCCGATAATACGGTTTTGCTTTGGGTTGTTTTCGCTCTAAGACGACTCAAAAACCCTCCAATTATAAACCAGTAAGCCACCTCATTCTAAACGCCCACATGCCACAAGTTTTTTTTTTCATTATCGTTGTTGCGTCCTCGAATAACACGTAATGTCGTATTATAATTTTTTATTTACCGAACCGCGCTCGACGTAATATTTACGCGATCGTGACACGCCGACGCAGCGAGACCGTCAGACTTGGATCGGCGCACGCCTTGGCATCGTATCGCGAGAAAATGTTTCATATTTTTTTTTTTCAACATAAATTACCGATAGAGGTACACCGTACACCATAATATCGTTGTAGTCGTGTTGTCGGCGGAAGGACGGTTGACACTTGATGCGTAGTTTTAATCGTATTTCGTTTTCGCGTCGTAAGCAAGACGTAATCAAGGATAATAATATTATTATGGCGAATCTATATTAAAGACATTAGATAATAATTCTTTTCAAACAGAGTATAGATGGAGCCGACTATTATTAATGCGACTTTATCGGTGACCAGGAGATTCCGTGTTAAATTTAAGTGATATATTATTTTTGTATTAGCAACTCCGCTAATCGCTATAACTCCATACGTACCTTTTGCATCGCTGCGTACTTTATTATTATTTTAGTATTATTGTTAAATGTTATCGCGCTTTGGACTATTTTAAATTCCAAATATATATATAATATGTTACTCAATTTGAGAATTAATTCGTATTTAAAGAACACAAGTACAAACATCTACGTTTTCATACTGAATATTGTCACTTGTCAGTTTCCAATAATCTAATTTATAGCTTAAACAATCCGTAGGGTGGACTCGCGCTAGCAGGTCTATACACTAAATTATAATAAATACGTTTTTTGTTGTTTTTTTCACAGTTCAATACCATAATCATCGAATTAATATGGTGTAAGCTGACCATTATATCATTATTCATTAATGATATAATTAAATACATCGTTTTTATAGTAGTTACTTAACCGATTGTCTCGATCAACGATCAGCTTGAGTGTGAACTCTATGTCTCTATGCATGGAACTCGAATCATATAGGGATTTCATATTATAACAAAATCGTGATTGTGGCTTGCGAGAGTCTACCATTTTGTTTCCCAATCATGGAGGAAACGGTATGGGCCATAACCTGTATATCCCTATTCCCTGGTATTACCTTTTAAATAGACCGGCCCTCTTTACGTTTCCAGTGTCAAGATAGGTGGCGCTTTTCGGTTACCAAGTTACTCTGATGCAGTACAAAATATGTATATTTTTTATTAATACTATATATTTATTTATACTAAATGGGCTGCATCACTGCGCCATGTAGGCACTCGATTCAATGTACTTGGTATATTATGGTCCGATCTAAGAGTATTACCATAGAATAATAATATTGAAATGGAAATCACGAATTCAAGATGAACCTACCAACCACGAGTTAACTTATTATACTTAATTACAAATTATTTTGCTAGAATCAACTTCAAAACTTAAAAGATTATTATGGACTACAATATTTTTAAGTTTGTGGATAGGTATACCTCAATTCTTAAATCATGATTGAAATATTGATTATTGCTTATCAACATATCAATTAATCAATTGAATAAAATAATACTAAGAAACCAATTGACAACTCCACAAAATATATACGTAATTCATTAAAAACATATGTATTGGCACATATTTTGTTTACGAGTTGCCGGGTTCCATGTATTCAGTTGTAAAAGTTCAGCGGATGGCAACGAGGAAACAAAAAGCGTCATCTTTATCGAGAGACGTCTAAGCCTCTAAGCTTAGATCATGACACAAATAATATAATAATATATTGATATACTATATTCAATATTGTGATTTGTGATCTAAAAATTCTAAGAAAAGAACACAATTTTAATAATTTTATACAATGATGATTAACTCAATTAACAGCGTTATCATTTGATTATCAATCATCATGCACACAACAAATCGTGGGCTTTGTATTTGAAGTTCTTTGGCAAAGTGGAAATAATTTGCCTAATAAAATAATATACCTTGGTCCAAGGTGGATCCATAGTCTTTGGTCGTTGGAATCTCTTATCGTTATCAGTTATCACTCGATCCAGCAACAATTCAATTTATCATGGTCTGGTGTAGCACAACACGAGTGACGAATGTTTGTAATTTGTACTTTTGTACTGTACGTCTGTTTTGCGGCATGTGAGTAATGAGTATGTGACTGAATAGGTATTGACTATACATTACTGTCGTTACTGTCATTAGTTATACAATATACCTAATAGTCAATAGAACATACTTGTAAAACAATACGATAATTATTATAGTGGATTGTCGTCTTCTGTGAACCATGGACTCTGTCGACGCTCTCCTAAGTCAGAGTGTCTTGAAACCGGGTTTCCAAAAAAATTACAAAGTACCAGTGAATGAAAAGAGTTCAAAGATCATCAAAAGAAATAAAAAGGTATAGTCCTATGAACTTGTTTTGTTGATTTATTAATTAATAATTGAATCGATAATTTGATCAAATGCTAGATCAAAAAGTTGTAATCAATAATGTATGTCGTTCTTTTTAATAACTCTCATTACCATATTATTTTCTTAATTGACTAAATGAATATTTACTCATTGTCGACTTAATTTTGTTTAATTACTGTGTATGATTCTTTTTGTAGTTGTTATACATGTATAATAATCTAGTGTATAATGTATATTGTATATAATATACCTACGTTTAAGAATATTTGTAATCTACATATTAACATGATGGGCTGTATCTAAAACTTATGAAAAATAATAATTTTAATATTCATGTGTACTTTTATACTCTTCTGCTCCAGAAGCCTTTCATTTGTTGATCCTTCAATTTAACATTTTATAGAAATCGCACTGTATTTATACTTAAAATTGAGTGATGCAAAGTGAAGTAGTATAGCAGGGGTGTCCATGCGGCCCGCTGTAGATTTTGATGTGGCCCTCACTTCAATTTAAAAGCCATGAATTAATAATTGTATATAATATATTAATATTACGAGAACAAATTTATTTTAAGAATATAAAACATCAAATAAAATGATGCACACGTCTGTGTTTTTACCTTTGCTTAAGGATTGCCACAACTTCAATCGATCCAGATATTGATTCATTACTTTCACAAAAAAAGCAATTTCAAATTTCACATTAAATAAAACTAATGACTTAACTTTTTTAAACTAAAACTTTTTTTTTTATTATAAATAGATATACTTTACTGTGTACTTATAATTAAATATTAATGCCTGTAAAAATATTTCTGCTTATTATTCGCTATTGTAAAATTATAAAGATGTATTGTTGTATTATATAATATAATTTAAACATTCAAATTGAATGTATTATTATTCAAAAAAAGTATGTGGCTCACAACAACTTCTACCTATATGATGTGGACCAGTCTTCACAAAAGGTTGGACACCCCTGTAGTATAGCATTAGCCAAAATATTACTGCTATTAACTGATTTTAAAATCTAATGTACTACAATAAGACTTTAAATAATGATATTAATATGGCTAGCAAATTTTACGAAACTCAATCATTTAGAATTGTATTTATATTATATTATGCATTTACTATTTATAAAAAAAGTACTTTGTTATGCTTGAATTTAATAATAACATGTATGTTCTATACTTATGTTTAGAAAGAAGAAGCAAAGACTAAAGGCAAAAATTGGTTTAATTTACCAGCTACTAAATTGACAGACAATGTTCGACACGACCTTGACTTAATTCGGATGAGATCAGCATTAGATACTAAACGTTTTTATAAAAAGAACGAAACTGAAGCATATCCAAAATATTTCCAAGTAAATTTTTAAAATATTTTATTTAAATAATTCTTCTTTGAAAACTTATTTATGTTATGTATTTGTAGGTTGGAACAGTACAAGATTCAGCATTTGAATGCAAATCTGGTCGTCTTACTAATAAGGAACGAAAACGTACAATGGTTGATGAACTTTTAGCAGATGCAGAATTCAAGCAAACAACTAAGAAACGCTACAAGAATATATTAATGGCTAATCCTAAATTGGCATCTAAAATAAGAAAAGAAAATAGGAAAATGAATAAACTAAAAAAGAAAAGAAAATAATTATTTGTTTTAAAACATTTCTTTTTGTACATTTTAAAAAATATAAATTTATAATTTGATTAATTTGTCTTGTCATAATCTTTATTTAATACTTAACAACAAGAAATATAACTAACATTTTTGCTCAATCAAAGTCAAAAATAGTTGGCAATTATTTTATAGTAAACATTTATAAGATATTAAATTATTATAGCGAAGAATTGAAAATTTAAAACAAGGTTTCTCATAGTTATGAAATTTAACCAAAAACTCTAAAAAAAAATAATTAACTGTATTTGTGTATAGATATTTTAAGTTCAAATTTGGACAAAATTAGATATTTAAACCAAGAATAACAATTTCAGTTATTTTGTTGTTATTTAAAAAATATTATTTGTGGTAACCTTCTATTAAGATTTGAAGTATATTATATTTTTTACACACAATAGGTCATTTAAATGGAATATTTTTGGCAATTACTAGTTCAATTTACTGTATTACAATATACTTAGTTACTATATTAATATTATTCAGCTACATTACTAATATCCAGTGAAAAAATAAAAAAATAACCAATCCAGTTGTTAACAGTTGAATGTTTATTAAATTTTATTTACTTAAATATGACAAAATAATATAATATTTAAATTTTATGAAAAATGAATACCCCTGTGGTAAACTGAGTATGACTTATTTATAATGATCATGTTTAACACTATCGTCACTTTAACATCTTAAAATATTTTTAAAACTTACTTTAGTGTTAAGATTTGAATTGGGAACATTTTGTAAGGATTAATACATATATGTTCAACGATTACAATAATAAGTGCAGTGAATTAGTGTAATAATGCATAATTCTTAGCTTACTGTAAAACATATAGCTTCCTTAACATATAGTTTGAATAAGGTGCTGACAAATTTAGTTGTATATATATTTTTTATTTTATATGTATTTTGTTGTTGCTTTTGAAGTTATTTTTTCATTTATCCTTATTTTTTTCAATATTTTTTATAATTTCTGTCAATCAAAACATTTTGCACACATAGTTTGATTATCGTCTTGTAAATAAATATGTTCTATACGCTTGTGCCTTGTCGCACCTTATTAATAATATCTCTAATTCAAAATATTTTACTTTTGATGGATTTTTATATTTTTTGAATTATTCTATTTAGTATTCTTGTGAATTTTATACTTACCGACTTTTTTGGGAAATAGAGTTGCAATATTCTATTATCTTTCTAAACATTACTATTATTATGAATTTGTTACTGCATATTTTGAAAACAACTATTGAATTGTTGTTAGTAAATAATATTTGTTTATTCATAATTAATTGTTCAGTTTATTTGCCCTTAACATTTTTTAATAATTTTATTGAGATAAGGTAAATTTAGTAATATTGATTAATTTGAACTATATTATGTATTGCATAATTAAGAAACGATTTATATGAATTTTCGTGACACTAAATTGTATGTTATTTTCAAAACTTAAGGTTGTTCGTGATTAATTTTTAAGTTACAGTTAAAAACCCTAAACATTTCGTTGGAACTACCCAATTTCGACTAAGTATTTACGAATAAAATAAATATTTTATTTATTTTTATCTAGTATGTTTTAATATATATATGCCACAATTATGAAGAACAGTTTAATACGATTGTAGAGAGCTTGGGTATAATAATTAATTGATAAAAGTTATTTGCCTGCTTTATAATGACCTGTATTACTTATGACGTAACGCTGCATTGACAATATAGAATACTCAGTGTCAATCACGTACAAAAATAGTTTCTACATAATCATTAAATTTGGTCATCCAAAAATTGTGATTTCAACTTTTCACGTCAACGTAAACCACACATCCCATTACCTATGCAGGAATATAGGCTTTAGAAACTACATTTTTATTAATGCACCTAGGTTAAGGAGGTAAAAAACAAAATGTGTATCATTACACTCGACCTGGCTGAATGTTATTACAAGTGTTCAACTTACACACTTGTTTTTTTTTTAAACAATGACGAGGTGCACTCGAATCACAAACTGAATAACAGCAACGCGATTTCCTGCTTTTAAAATAATTGTATTTCCCTTCACTTGACTTATGAGAAATGCGTTTGCACGGCGTTACGTATAGGCAATATAGGTACGTTATTGTGTTGAAAATATCATCTGACAGGCTTCAAGCTTTTACTGCTGCCAAAACGTAAAAGCGTCGAAAATTATCTAGGAGCTTCCAGGTTATCCCAGGTCTGTAGGTTTGTATGGAGCGAGACCCTCTCCAGATGCTCTCTTAAATTTGAAACTCTTCACAATCATGCATTCATGCTGATATACTAGATATTATTATTTTATGAACATAATATTTAGACTGACTTTAAGCTGTTTCTACTATACTAATCCATTCTCACCATTTTTTAATGTATGTCTGTATTGACAGTATTGAGTTAATGCTTATAAGTCAAAAATAACAGTATTGTTTTATTATGAATTATATTATATCGTTTTTATCGAAAATTAAAACTCGGTATTACTAATAGGAACCTAAATTACTTTACTTATTTAACTAATATAAATAAACTATAGAATGTTACTTAGGATTAGAAGTTGACGACACTGCCTCAGAAAGTCAGAATATAAGTCGTTTTTCGTTTGTAATGATTTATTATTGAATTCAAATTCAACATGATAATATCCATTACAGTGGCTTACTCATGGACAAGTTACACATAAACCTGTTATTCAGCAAAGCCAGTTTCCCAGTTTTTTATATTTGTGTATATTTGAAGATCATTAAATCACTCGTAACCTGACGTAACTCTCTGACAACTGTTTTATTGTACAATATTATGTTTCAAACATAATAAAACTAGATTTTCTTTTACAGAAGTTTTTTCGCTGGTTTAATACTTTAGTAGTTTCATCGTTAGATGGCATTGCCGTATGCAATTTTCATTTTTTTTTATTCGATTTTAGATTCTGAGCGGAGCGGTTGATTTTACGATGGTGTGTTTTTTTGAGTCTTTCGGCGCCATTTAGAGCAGTATAAATGCTTCGATATTCGACTTTGTGGGTGATTTCTGGTAGCGAGTTGGATCTATAGTTGCTAGGAGATTTTGGGTCAAAATATTAAAATTTACATTATTTTTTAAAAAACAAAAAATAAAGTAATGAAAAATGAGAATTTTTGCTCAATACTACCTAGTATTTGACAAAATTGATTTCGTTTTCTTATGTACTTGAAATTTTCACGAAATGTATACATTTCTAGACATGGAAAAATGTATCATTATTCAGAATATTTTGATTTTTTTCGTGTCGCTTACTTAAAGTAATTACAAACTTTAAACATTTTTAAACATTTTTTTTATTTATGTTTTATGAAAAGGTTCACATTCGTATGACTAACGAAAAATAATTTTTTCAATAAATCACAATTTAAATAAAGTATGATTGGTGAATTATTAAAAACATAATAATTGTAGTATTAAAATTAAAATAAATTGGTATTTTTTTTTCTTCATAATTTACCAAATATTCCATGATATGCTAGAGAAAAAAATACTCTTAAACCTCGGAAATATTCCAAACCATACAAAAACATTTTATGCTAATGTCGTTTAAATGTATTATTTTAAAACTTTGCTTAATGTTTAGTGAATTGTCTTAATTTTTCACCCACGTCAAATTGTATACATTATAATCCAAACTCTAGTTATGACTTACCTTTATAAATATTTTCATTTAATTAATTAACTTGTTCAACATAGTTACCAAATAATTTTACAATGATAATTTAAATATTATTTATTATCTTAGTATTGAATTTAGGAGTCATAGGCGAATCTACAGGGTGTGCCTGGTGTGCCAGGGCACACCCTGCGACTCGTATAAACCTGTGTATAGGGCCCATAATACTCATTTCAGTTACAATGGTATTGAGTCTAAACATTAAACAATTTATATTTTAATTTTAAGAGGACGTGATACCTGCATGTGTTGTCTCTGTCTTACAAGTGCGTAACATAGCAAATTTTACGCTCAGCAGAACACGTGTAGC